CTAATGTTTTTGCTTCAAGAACTTGCACTAATCCATACGTCTCTAATAACAAAAAGTTGAGTTCAGCGGAAACTGCTATCAAGATTTTTTTAACAGACCTTGTACAAACTGCCCCCTATTTCGTCTCCTTCCCCTTGCTCCTTGTCCTGCGCGCCCTTAGCCTTTCCCGCCGTTCATCATCTTAATCAGCTTATTATGCTCTACAATTTATGGATTTGTGCGATTTTCGGTAATTGCAATTTGTGATTTTAGTAAACAATATCTCGTAATGCAAATGAAAAACATAAGCGTCTGAATTTAAGATATTCGACAAGTCTGAGAGCAACAGAAGGATTAGAATCTCTTAGGCACATACTGCAACTGAGTAAATTATTTATGAAGGTGCAGTGATTCTATATCACATTTTTCTTTAAGGGCAGGAGATCGGCAGAGGAGAAAACATGGCAATACAACAAAAATACTGCTTAAACACACAATTTACTAGAGCTAAGAATACATGTGAAAGGAAATGCGGAAGTATTTCACCTCTACATTACATACAAATGTTTGATACATTGAGATTCAATAATTGATAAAACTTATCGATAATTACACCCTAGGATGAGTGCATATTGCACTGGTTAGACTACCAAGTGATGACCCTAACAAGTGCTTGGTGGGCGAACTGTTGAACTAGAAGATGTTGCATCAATGAATTCCTGTAGCATGGTGAAGACCATAAAAAGGCTGGGACTATCAAATTAAGGCCACTTGAGAGTGAAGTTTGCATCTACAGTTAGCTTAACAAAAAATATCTAATGTAAGATATCAATGGCAGTTTCAACAGCATATTGCACTTTTGTGATAGCCATAGCTAGATTATGCAAGTCGGTTTCGTTGTGAGACAAATGGTAATCCAAAGCAGGATCGAGAATACACGCAAACGAGGTGAACCGAGGGGAATGTGAGGATGGAGAAAAGACTAAGTGTCTGTAATATGGATTCTGAGTGTTTTGGTCCAGAAATGAACGCTCAATATATTGAAGGCGAAAATTGATCGATTCCAAACGTTGAAAGGCCACACCATTATTACCGTTTGCAATGTCCTGAAAAGAAACAGGATATATTAGTGGAGAGATATATAATGAACGAAGTTCGTGAACCATTTTTCTCACAAAGAAAATTATGAAGCAGTTACAAATTAATGGTGAGTTTTCTTCTCATTACTTATGTGTGCTTGGCAAATAAGTTTCTGGTCATTTGTACATTTAACAAGCAACTCACCTGTGCTTCCATTTGTAGCCTTCTAGCTGAGC